GTCAAGTGAAAGATATATATAGTTACTTTTGGAAAGAGCAAATGTTTATAATATTATGCAAATGTCAACACTAAATTGGCATAAGCTTTGAACATAATACCGAAGGGTTTGTAACGAGTTTGACGTTTTATTCGTTCTCGTTACTCAGAAAAGGAAATCAAATAAAAAACGAAGAAGAGGGAGAAGAAATCAAAGAAAGTTGCAGAAGAAAGATGGGTAGAAGGGACGGTTGGTTGACTTTGACTTTGAGACACGTCATCATAAACACGGTGCATGCATAAACAAAAGAAGAAAAGGGACAAAAATAGAAAGAAACCAAAGCAAATAATTGATCCAATTCAAACCAACAGAATTCTTTGACCACTTTGAATACATTGTTTAATTACCTTATATTACAACCGCAAAATGTTTTAAATAATATGATGAGAAAAAAATCATCAATGATGTCAATAGAATTAATTTCTGATTTAGTGTTGTTGTTGTAGTATCTATAGGAGAATGCTCGAACAATACGATATCTTATGAAAAATACTCGAATGATAGTATGTATCAAAGATGGAACTTCCTTAGGACCTAAAAGAGTCCCGGCCCCTATAAAAAATTATGTAATCGATAAATTTTGGTTTATTATTATTTTAGTTCATATAAAAATAAATATTCAAATTTAAAAATATAAGAATTTATTAAATATTTAATTAAGTAGGGACCGAACTAAAGATAAATAATTTAACGTTCTAAATTTTTTTGTCTAATTACAATTTAGGTCATTATAAATTTAAATATTAGACAAATATGTATTATCTTCTGAATTTTGATTTTAAATAACTAATAACTCATTGTATATATATTTTTTAAAAATAATATTTCAGCCCCTACTAATATTTAATCATGACTCCGGTGTGTATTATATAAGATTATAACGTTTTAAGTTTTCAAGCGTATATGCAATTAAGAAGAAGACGTGTATTGTTTGAAAAATGGGGAAAATCAATATTTGACGCGCTTTTTCCAAAACCGAAAAATGAAACAGAATTATTAAATAATTATAGTTTAGTATAATAGTAAGAGTTAGGGCTTTTCAAAGGCCGCCCAAAATAAAAGCAAAATAATTAAATTGTTTTCTACGTGCATGTTGACTCAGGGTAGGATTAAAGTGAAGAAAATAATTATAACAAAAAAATCTATTTTAATTTTAAGTTGATTTATTTTTTTCAACAACATATCAAATAATATCTTATTTATAGAATAAAATATAATTAATTTGTTTTCATTTTTGTTATGAACTAATAATTTATTTATGTTAAATTGTATTTAATCACATTTAGAATTTATTGAACTACTTTAGCGGTAAAGGAATGTTATTTTTCCTAAAAATCTTAGATTTTAACATCTACGTCTGTACGGTATGTGTGTTTTGAATGACTAAAAAAATATTTTAAACACATAATACCTTATAATTATATCATATTACTAAAATATCATATCTACAACAACTAATCGTTGAAAATTTAATATAAAGATTTAATCCTCAGAAAAAGATCTAAACATTCAAATACGTTAAATTGTATTTTTAAAATTAAAAATACCCTTCTAATTATATTATACGAACAAATCTAACTCATATATTTGTTGCTGTTTTTTCTCTCAAGAAAACGTTATATTTTAAAAAATTAAGACCTTCACGTGTACATACTTAATTCGTGAAAGATTTATATTTAGACGTCATAATAAATTTATATGATAATTTAATTATTATTATAGTAATTACGTTCACTTGTAATTACAATAAATTTAAACTTAGTATACATATTTTATCAATAGAGTGTAATACATCATAAATTTCTATCTAAAAATATCAAATTTATGTGTAAATCTAAAATAAAATTATTATAATCTAAAAATAGTATCCAATAAATTAACTCCATTTCTCATTCAACCAAAAGTAGGGTTTAACGAGTAGAATTTGCAAAAGAATTGTATGAGCCAATGTTTCTTTATTTTATAAAATCTATAAACTATAATAATGAAAAGATTGGTTGAACTTATTGAGAAAAGAGTATTTTTCTAAGTCTTGGGTTTAAACAACTATGTCTGCAAAATGTATATTATCAACGGTTAATTTTTGTTTGAATTAACATTAGTTTATAATAACCCCAAACGTGTGATATATATAATATGGTTGCTCTATCTCGATAACATGTGATTCTTAGGATGACTCAGCCTAATTGTAATTGGATTAACTCGTGTTATTAAAACCCAGTGTCACGCGGAAATAAATTATTTATGTGACCGAGATTGATGAAAAGTATGAATGATTTTGCCATGATTAATATTTAATCTAATTATGTTTTAGTGGCCGTGTTGCGACCCATTTAACTAATTGAATTTATCAAAACAAAGCATTATCTTTAAATAATCATATTAAGTCAATAACAAGTCTAGTTTAACATTATTTTGAGATGAGTTACCAGTGAAGGTTTGTGTTGAAAGATATCATCGGATGATTTGAGAGGAAATGAGAAACAAATTAATTAAAATCCCGTTGTTTTAATTGATTAATTGATTCATATAATTAATATTACTTTATGTTGTATGGCTACTTCCAGCATAGTGGATATACAAATGACTGGCAATTATCCATGGGTGAGTGGAATATCCACCCACCCGCCCATAATAAATGGATGAAAACCCGTTATAAAACGGATGATTGGCGGGTGATAGATGAATCGGGTGATGGATGAAATTTTTTTGACCCATCACCCTTCCCATCCATCCACCCATTAATATATCAATCTATATATATATATATATTTATTAAAAAAAATAAACGGATGATTGTAAATATTCTTATTCTATTAATTTTGACTTTTATCCCATTGAAAATATGTCTAATTTTTTAATATTGGTTTATCCCTATTGATACTAGGATGGAGAGGACTTTTAAGAAGTGATAGTTTGTTGATGAAGATTTGAAGATTATATTTGGTGTACAAGACTATACATGCATCTATGCACTTGAAAAATATATCACAAACATAGTGCACAAGACTATATAAACAGTGTTCCATTTTGTTTTTGTTTGAATTTGATGAAAATTTATTGTTCATGTTTTGGTTTCTATGAATGTTTGAGTATCAATGTTTGGTTTCTATGCATGTTAGAAGAATTTGAGCTTAGGATGTAAAAATATGTTTTGTTCATAGTATTATCCATTTCTCATCCGCTTCACCCGCGGATGATGGATGGAGCGGATATGGATGAAATTTTTTATGGGTGATGGATGGTGTGGATGGAGATTTGGACCGCGGGTGATGGGGCGGATGAAGCTCCACCCGACCCATCTCCGATCCATTGCCAGCCCTAATTCTATGGAGAAGTAAATGACGAGACATTAGAGAAAAGATTATCTGACCAATTCCGAAGCCATCTTTGTTTACTTGGTATAGGATTTATTTATTTGGTTATACAGAAAATGACTCGAATTCTAAGCATCATTAGCAGAAGCTTCCTGTTGCGCCAAGTCAGCAACGTCCTTTGGTGGGTTATCAGATACCAGCGATCAAGGGGAGCCCTTCTTCACTACACCATCTCTAACAATTTAAATCATTTCCCAAGTTTAATTTATCAACGACCTTTTTATCGGTTCGTTATATTTTCTTTTAATAAATTTGAATTTTGTTAAATTAAAATATAATTGCTTCACTTCATTTTTTAAGAGAAAGGAATGAGAATTAGTATAATTACATTAGTAATTACTATTATTCTTATAGTAGTAAATTATCAAAATTATATATAAATTTTGATTAGACGTGCAACTATATACATGGAACTTTAATTCAGTTTCAAATAATTTTAAAAAATAAACACATTCATTGTTATTTTTATATAGTTTTGAGATAAATATAAGAGAATATATGTTCGAAAATTTTCAATTTTTTTAACAATAAACGGTTATACACATAATTTTGATAAAAAAGAATATTATTATTCTAAAAGTGCAGTTTTAAAAAGGGTAAAGTATATAAATAGTCTCTGTTTTTTTAGGGCGCTTGCATTTTGGTCACCCAACTCTTGAAACTTGCAATACAATCATCGAACTTTTAGTTCGTTTTCGGTAAGGTTCATGTCGTTACCTCCCGTTAGTTTTAGCCGACGTGGCACTTAACTCCCGTTAACCCCCTTCTTCTTCTTATCCTCCTCCTCTCACACACATAAAAATAACTCCCGTTCACCCCACCTCTGGTCAGTGGTGGCTCACATCACTATCACCGGTGACACCTCTCAATCTCACCCCGATCCTCGATTCATGCTCACTGTCCACCGTTTATCCCAAATCGTGAGAAGACCGTTCGAACACCCATCCCCAATCTTCGTCGTCAGTCGCTGATGATCATCATTGTCGGTACCAATAGGAAAATCGCTTCATTCCAACCAAAACTCCGCTAGCCACTTGTCGAGACTCACCTCCTTTCGTCGTGGAGAGGGCCCTAAATCTTGTCAAAAAATCCCAATGCCCCTTTTATGTTTTCATCGATTTTTGGCATATTGGCTGTCCATTCGCCACACAATCACCACCATTGGAGTCCTCATACCGTTCTGACCAAAAATCCAATCTGTCGTGCCTCATATGTTTATCGTTGGTTAAGAAGAAGAAGAAGAGGGTTAACTGGAGTTAAGTGTCACGTTAGCTATAACTAACGGTAGGTAACGACAGTGACCTTAATGAAAACGAACGATTGTATTGCAAGTTTCAAAAATTGAGTGATCAAAATGCAAGCGCCCTAAAAGTTTGGGGATTATTTACTTTACCCTTAAAAAATCAAAATATGAGACTAAAGCGAGTAAAAAATAGAGACCAAGTTGACAAAGTCTAACAAATTCAGGGACTAAAGTCTACTTCGTCCTTTTAGCATTTTCCCAGGTTCTTATTATAGAACAATTAGGAAGGCTCTTCAATCAAATGGCTCATCCAATAGCTACAAATTCTCTTCAAAATTAACTCATTACATACACAGTAAGTGCCATGTTTATGCCATTAATCGATTTCAAAAATCTCTATTAAATCCCATCAAACCCCATTCTTCTTTACCCAGAAACTTGTAAAACCATGGAAGCCGCCGGCAACCAAGACAGGGCGTCGCCTCCATCGAAGCCCTCAAAGTTCTCAGTGTACCAAAACCCAACCCTATCTGCCGCTTTAACCGCCACAAGTCTACAACCCTCCAAATCAACTCTTCTTTGCATCTTCTGCCTCTCCTCGGCCTCTGCTTTGGCTCTCCTCTACATCACTTCCAGGTTCATTAATTTTCGGTCCTTTAGGGGTTTTCCTTTTGGTGTTTTCTCTTTCATACAGAAAATGCAGCGGTTCCGAGCCTTCCTAAGCTGAATATACACGCATTTGTCGAACATATGATTTTTTTAGGGTTTTAGGAGGGTTTAAGCAAATGGGTATTCTTTTATAGACATTTAAACTCTCTATCTTGGGTTGTTTCTGATAAAATACATGAATATAGCCTTTATTTGTAATGAACTTTTATCAATAATTCCGGGAGTTTATGATGTTTTGTTAGCAGATTACAAGGCATAGGCCAAAACCTTCATTCTCCTCCTTAATTACCCAAAGAAAGTTCAGATTGCAGGATATGTATATTATGTTTATAAAAGAGAATGAGAAAGATGATTTGAGTTGATTTACTGGTACAAGTATAGAGATTAACAATTTTAAGGTTTCTGTCTTTCTCAGCTTTCAAAGGGAAAGAACCAACATTAAATATGCTAACATAGGGGGAAAAGAAAATCTTTAGATTATTATTTTTGTCTCTACTTCTGTTTTGATTCAAAATGCATTTTGTTTAAATCCATCAACACTTTTTTTTTTTTGCCTTACACTGATGAAGGGGAACTGGCTTGACTGATAAATTGAAGTTTGGAAATTTCTCTGAAGAATTATCTTGTAAGTTATCATTTGGAGATTGGATTCCTTTGATTGTTGAAGTATAAGTGCTCTATTTCATGCCTTCACATTTAACTTTTTTCTATGGTTCAGATATATTTGCCAAAGGAATACAGTCTGTGTCAGGGGTAGTTTTCATTGGCACCATTTTTGCCCTATTCAAAGCTATCTCTCTGCATAGAAGTAGGAGTATTGGTTGTGCACCTGTTGTATCTCCTTCTAAAGCAACTAGGGATCACTCTCAGCTAACGAAGCACCAACTAGGGCTTTTGGGAATGAAACCGAAGGTTGAGCAAGTTGCACCGGACTCATCTAAGAAACCTCCAAAGTCCAAATCCCCAGTGAAATCATCTTCAGATGTTCTTGTTCCACTCCATCCACAAATTAATGGCTCAGATCGGAAGTCTCTGGTCAACTCTAATAAATCAAACACCAGTAGTGGGAATAAGATAGGTTCATTTGCTTCCTCATCCAGATCGGTGGGCTCTCCTTTGTTATATCATGTTCCAGCATCCTCTTCAGCGTTATCTCCTCTTCAAACTTCACCAGGACAGGAGCCTGTGGTAAAATCCCCTTGGTCTACCAAGCGAGCTTCCTATACCAAAGAAATAACGACAGAAGAGCAACTTGAACGATTTCTTGCTGAAGTAGATGAGAAAATCACTGAATCAGCTGGAAAACTTGCCACCCCACCCTCAACCATCAGTGGATTTGGAATTGCAAGTCCTAATACTGTTGTAAGTTCGGCTAATACATCTGGAACTACAAGGAGTACACCACTGAGGCCTGTGAGGATGTCTCCTGGTTCCCAGAAATTTACCACTCCTCCAAAGAAAGGAGAGGGCGACCTTCCACCTCCAATGTCCATAGAAGAGTCTATTGAAGCTTTTGAGCATTTGGGCATCTATCCCCAAATTGAGCTGTGGCGCGATCGCCTCAGACAGTGGTTTTCTTCAGTTCTGCTAAATCCTCTACTTAACAAGATTGAAACCAGTCATATTCAGGTCCTTCAATTCCATAATTTATGCCATTATTTCCATTCCACTCCCAAGTCTCACCCTGCTCATGTTACGTAGTGTCTGTTAATAATTTTGAGGTGTGAGTAAATTAATCCACTCTTAATCTGGAAATATTCAATGATTAGATCTCAAATGTCCATGAAGTGTATATGTTTTACCAAAAAAGAAAAAGACAATTCTTTTGTAATCCGAAATTGTCTATTATGAATTAGTCCATGTTATGGTCTTCTTTATTTTGCAGAATGAGTTGCTAAAACTTCTATCTTTACCATGTTGTTGAAGATTGTCAAAACTAGAAAGTTGGTGTAATATAGCACTGTTTAGAATTTGAGAAACCAAGAAGTTTAAATATCATGTTTCTTATAGCTCTTTCCCCGTGGCTGTCTGATATACAGGCACCGAGATGTGAATATTATTGCTGTTATACTTTTTTTTTCCATTGTTTTGGACTTTACAACCTTGCCATTACCATTATCTACTTTTTCTTTTGCGTTTTCGTGTATAGTAAGCTGATAATTCTTAAATCCTCTATAGGTAATGCAAGCAGCTGCTAAACTCAATATCTCAGTAACAGTAACTCAAGTGGGAAGTGATCTACCAACCAATGGAAGTTCTGCTACTTCATCTAAACCTGAAAGGATGAAAGAATGGCAGCCGGCATTCACTCTTGAGGAAGAAGGGCTCCTTCATCAATTATCGGCAACTATTGTGCAGGCTCTTGAGGCTTCCATGTGTAAGTGGCTTTCATTGCTGTTGTTAATATATTTTTGTGTTTGGTAAGTTGGTTTTGTTTATTGATCTTAGCCAAGGATTTATAATGGTATTTTTTTTAATTGAATGCAGCAAATCCTTTAGCCAATCAACAACAAGTGCAACAAAATCCTCTGATCCCTGTTATGCAGGAGTGTATCAATGCCATTACCGAACACCAGAGGCTTCACGCATTGATGAAAGGAGAGTGGATGAAGGGTTTACTACCACAAAGCAGTGTGAAAGCTGATTATACAGTTCAAAGAATAAGAGGTATTTAGAAACTCAAAATCTTCCTCTTTATGCTTGGTTTCTGTTTACTTGTAGAACTTAAGAGACTTTTAGTGTACATAAACTATCAAGTCACCATATTGTGAATTCTGCAGAACTCGCTGAAGGAACATGCCTGAAGAACTATGAATATCTTGGAGGTGGGGAGGTTTTTGACAAGAAGAACAAGAAGTGGACTCATGAACTTCCAACTGATTCTCACTTGCTCTTGTATCTGTTTTGTGCTTTCATGGAACACCCAAAATGGATGTTACATGTTGATCCTACTTCTTATGCTGGAGCTCAATCTAGTAAGAATCCCTTATTCCTTGGAGTGCTTCCACCAAAAGACAGGTTGCCAGAAAAGTATGTAGCAGTAATCTCCGGGGTTCCCTCAATTCTCCATCCAGGAGCTTGCATATTGGCCGTTGGAAAACAAAATCCCCCCGTTTTTGCCTTATACTGGGACAAGAAGTCACAGTTCTCTCTTCAGGTACCGTGTATTTTAACTTTTTAGTTACAGTCGGATGATATGTTGCACCAACTATTTTTTTGAGTAGTATATTTGATATGAAGATCATAAAAAGACTTAAACTTGCATGTACCCCTGTAGGACACATGATACATAACAAGTAATAATGGTTAATACTAGTGGCAAGACAGAAATAACAGGTTAGGAAAAAAGAAAGGAGTGGATTATAAAAATGGTTTGAATTTAAAGTTAATGTCGGCATTTGTTGAGTCAATTCTGAAGATGATAAAGCCCTTTCAATTAAAGACTTCTTTCTTTTTTTAAAGAGTGGAGGCAGGCAGTTGATTAAGATGGTTTTGATAGAAAAGCTTGCTTCAATACACTCGATCTCATCAAATAAAAATATTATTTTTCCTTTTAAATCATCCTTCTATATTTTTAATACATACTAAATATAAATGACTTAACATGTGTACGTACTATTTCTTTTTTCCCCATGCTGCTGCATCGCTGCTTTACTTGGAACTATATATTTGATGTCTATGGATGATGGAAAATATATATCTAACACGTATGAGTTACTATTTTGATATTTTCAGGGGAGGAGTGCACTGTGGGATTCAATCTTGCTGTTGTGCCTTAGAATAAAGGTTGAATATGGAGGCATAGTTCGAGGAATGCACCTTGCTTCTTCTGCCTTGAATATTCTCCCGGTTCTTGATCCTCAAACTGAACCCTGACTAGCATGTTTAGGGGATGCATTACAGATTTTGCCTGTTTGACTTGTCAGTTTTAAGGATTTCCAAGTTGTAAACAAGTAGTTTGGCTTTTCAAACTTTTGCCTGTATGAACAAACACAATCCCCGAGAAGCTGACCATTGACATTTTAGTTTGTAGTTTCAGTAGTTTTCTTATTAAAGATTTTAGGCGAAAATATTGGAGTACAAGCTTTCCTCTTAAAAAAAACCTGCATGACATTGACACTTTGGCGTAAATATTGCAATGGACTAATAGTGCTTCTAACCAGCGACCGGAGCTCCTTGAAAGATAAGAAATTAGATTGGCTTACAATACAGGGTTGCTTGAAATTATATTCAACGTTTACTAATATTGAGATTTCTTGTCATGACATTAAAAGGTAAATGATAATTTGACATGCCAAGATTGATCACACAATCATTCATAAGCATGACGGTTACTGCATTAATAGAAAGTCGACAAACACGGACCAGCGGTGGCCAGGGAAATCTATCAGGGCAAAAAGGAATCATTTTGATAAAATATCATTTATCTATAAATAAACTGTAAAAAGCCCTCGATCTACAGGCTATTTGATCCCAACATCTTCAAGTAAAGAGGAAAAATGGCGGATCTTCAAATTATACCTCCCCTACTGCATCCAAAGGGTTTTAAACCATTGGATCAAAATTCCAATTTTCAGACTATACCACTGTACAATTTAAAAGGTAGAACCTGGTGATCATTGTTCGCTGTGAAACAGCTTGTAACAACCCTGTCAGAACACAGAATTAGAAAATGGAGCTTCGTTGAATGCACAATGGTGACAGTTATAAAAAGGCTCGTGCTCACCATTTAACAAAAGACATTCGGAACTCCCCAGCTCAAGACCGTAGCAGAGCTTCCTTGTAGCCATCTTTGTTTGTTTTGAGATGGGCTTTCCTTCTGAAAATTTACATTTCATGCTTGACAGAAATGCCAAAACTTTCTTCATGAGTGATCACCACAGTTCTTCATAAGATGATTCATAAGGGAGGGCCAATGTCTGGCAAACTAGTTCAACTACTCGGAATCTGAGTCAATAGAAGGATATAATCTTGGTCTTACAGAACGCTTTTGCCGAGGAAATAAGAAAGGGCTCTCTGATCTTTGTCTACTTGACTTCTCAGATCTACAGTTGTTCATGCCAAGTAGCAAAGAAGCTGCAGAAGGAACAGGTAATGCCAGATGTTAAACAGACTGAGCTAGGCAAATGCTAATGAAGTGTACAAGACACATTACAACAGATACAATGCAACCACCACATATACCATCATATCCTAGAATCACACATTATTGCTAGTAACAAGCTTTGAAGCCTTTTCCATTCCTGTCTGTTACATAGAAATTTTCAGACATAAGCTACCACATTAGGGCTCTTCAAAAGAACAAGGAAACTAACCAGTGTCGGCCAAAGAATCCATAGCATCATCTCTAGAAGGAATTTGCAGCCCTGAATTCAATCCATTCACAGTGGCCAAATCCCCGTGACCTCCACTTACACCACCTCCAAGCCTAAGAGAAATCCAATCATCGGTGCGGAGTATATTTGATGCATCAGCTTGATCTCTCAAATTTGACTGTGGTGATACACCTAAAGGACATGTTGGAAGAAATATCTGGAGAGAAGGGTCTTCTCCACCAAACAAGGTATTGTCAACCAAGCCATTATTCATATCCATAGCAGTCTGACCAATAGAAGAACAAGGAACAATAGGTGCAGATCCCATTGTTGTCTCAGGAGCCATTGTATAGCCATTCATTGATGAAGGGCAATTGAGAGAATTATGCTGCAGACCAACTAAGGCATCTGAGACATCTGCATCTGTACTAAATAGTTGAAACCCAGAACCTTCTTGCATTCCTGGAGGTAATGGCCATAGAGGCATGTCAAATTCATCGTTAGGATTAAAAAGACCCAAACTACCAGCAGCACCAAGAGAAGGATTTTCTGAATACTGATGAGAAATTCCAGGAGACACTGGAAAATTAATTCCACCATCATTATGATTATCCTTGTAGGCAGTAGCAGGAGATATCGAAATTTCGTTCTCTTCATCTGAATCACTCAGAACAATAACTTCTGCATTTCCGACTGGTACGGATGGATTCCGGTCGGTAAACTCACATGTCGAGTCTACATTCATAGGCAGGGAATCAAGTTCAATCCCATTGCTTGTGAAGTCATAAGTTCCACCACCATCCTGATTTACACTGGGATCTTCACCATCCTTACCACTTCCGGTAGCACTGCTGCTCATTGGGATAATTTTTTGCCCATATTGTTCAATCCTTTCTTGCAATCTACTACCAGAGGAGGTGTTCAAATCTTCAGGCTTGCTAACCTCCCACAACCCGTTGCAATTTTTCCGGATTCCAAGTTTCAAGCCTGTATGACCTTCAGAAGCACCTTCAAGTTTGACCTGCTTCAATGTTTCAGTTCTTGGCTTGACCTCAGCACTGTCAGGACTACATAAGGTGCCATCAGGAGAGTGCCATTGTGCAAGATCACCAAGTTCTCTACGCTCACTTTCACTTTTAGCCTTTGCACGCCAAAAACCATCAGGCTTCACCTCAATCTCTGTAATATCCTCTCCACAATTTCTCATCTGCATCACAGTTAATCATCATTATCACACAGATGCCATCAACAAAAAGAGGATAACCACAAGGCACATACCTTGGATGTGATGCGATTAAAGTAAGGATCAATTATAATATTCTCCAACGTGTAGTTCTTCAGACAAATGGGGCACTGCCACTGCAATCACATTCACAAACAAATGCTAGTCAAAACCATAAAATAGTTCCAACTGGAAATAAAAATGTTATAATAGTTGCTTGCCTTTCTAGAACGTTGGTTCAGCTCCACAAAAACTTCAAGATCGAAACAACCCATGTGAACACATGGTTTAAACCTTCCGGCCACCTTCATTCGTGAACCACTCATCTGTCACAAGTAAACAAAAAAAATGAAAGTTGGATATAATTAGAGTAACTTCAAGAAGGGTGCAGTACTGGAATATTGTATTCCAATCCCATTAACACTCAACATGGTAGAAGAAAAAAAGGAGAGGTGGGAGAATTATCCCCTCTTCCATGATAAGTAAGATTCAGCTTAGTATAAATACAGAGTTGACAGAGAGGTATATAGAAACACAGTATAGAAAGCAAAAACAATAGAATGTTAAAAGAGACAGTCATAGGATAAGCACACAAATATATGGAACCCAAATGGACTTATGATAAAGTTTAGTTCTGATTAGAACAAACCAGAAGTATATGACAGCACATATTATCCATGTAGATTAATAAATCTGTCAAATAGGTCCATGAACTTCGCCAAAAGAAACCTATTATGGTATTGGCTCCAATGGTTGAAAGGAAACACAGGCAACTTTACAGCAACAAGCAAGATAAATAGCACCACCACCTCAATAAAGGATGAAGTGCATTTTTCTGACATTATAGCCTCAGCTAGAATGTGCTACAAAGCACACATAACCTTAGAAGCTTCCCCTTTAGGCTATAGACATTTTATAGCTACTATGCTGGTACAAAAGTGAGACTTGGAAAAATTTGATCCATGAATATCACAGGGCATAATAACCATCTCTTAAAAGACATGCTTTACAAGAAAAGCTAATCAAATATTTCAAGAATGATACCCATAAATTAAACATGAAATATTTTTAGCATAAAAAGATGGTGCATAGCTGCATAAATTTACAGGAAAGAGAGTGCTAGCAAACTATTCATAACTCACAGGGCAACGTAGGTTGACTCCAAAAAAATCTGCAACGACTTCTAGATCACTGTCACTATCACCATTGTCTGCTGCAGTTCCACCACCAATACAACGGCAAACTCGTGCAAGAGCATCTTCAAAACATTCACCATTGGTCTCCTTCGGAATCATGTCGAGTATCTAAGTCATGCCACAAGAAACATAAAATGAACATAAAGAACACCAAACATGTATATAGAAAGGTAAGTTTCAGTTACACAGAAATGGAGGAATTTGTTGTTCAAATTATAGAACAAACACTCTCAATACTAATGTTAGTAGTTCAATTATCTTTTATCTCAAATTAAAACTTGATATTAACGTATGGAAATTTCAGGGTAAATCTCCAACCATATATATTTGATGTTGTTATCATACCTGTTGAAGAGTTCGGCGTTTAACAATACTAACTCCAAAACAGAAAACACGGGCATCACATCCGGTCAAAGTTATCTTATTAAGTCCATCTTTAGTACATGGAGTTATCTGACGAAAGCACAGACAATGAAACGAGTGTTTAGGGAGTTGATGTTTCTTAACAGATAAAAATATTACCAGTATTATAAAGAACGTGCAATAATCTGGCCTGCCAGCTTCCCGACCCATACCGATCACATACATGAACATATAACAGTTAATTCTATGGAAAATATGATTCCATATACATCAAGAACATAAATCAAAATTCATCTTGTTAATAGAAGGAAAAAAACTCACAATTGGACCATCATCACGGCCATTAGCCCCAAGCAACTGCGAGCCGGGTCTATTAATTGCACGAACAGGTACACCTGTTCAAAAAGCTTGTCACTTGTAGACCCAAAAAAATTTACTGTTAAGATATTGAAATCGAGAAGTTCATAGAAAATACTCAAAAGGACAAGATGTCAGCAGCAATGTTTCAATTAGAAAAATAGAAGGCAAACAAGCTAAAGCATGCTCTTATCTTTTTCTTCTTTTTTTTGGTTAAATCCAAGCATGCTTCTCAATGACAAGAAGTTAAATAAACAGTACCTAGCAATTAAGCTGTAACAAGTCTGATTAACCACCAAGTAGTAAAATCAAGACATAAATAACCATACCATTGACCTGTAAATCTGCATATTGAGGCCACTGCATCCTGAATGGAACTTTGTCATTCAGAAGCATACACCATGCCTATTTTGACAAGAAGAGAAACAAAAACATCAAGATAGATAGCCAAAAATAATACCATCAAAATCTTACATATTTTTTACACTAGCCAACCTGGACATCATAATCTTGTTTCGTCAATAAGTCCTTGTCTGCTCTGGTAATTTGGAATGTTTTCTCTACACTTTGCATTGGATTTGTACTGTAAAATGGTGGATCTGAATTACTAAACTAACAAGGTAACAAGGAAAAAAGTCACAAAGCATCACACATAAAGCATACAGTGTTTATCACCCCTAAATAAACAGGAAATTTAAGGGGAAAAAGAATTTACTATTTCCCATATAGTTCACTCACCCATCAGTTGGGATGCTCGTAATAGTCAACTTCACTGGATATAAAGGGTTCGCAATAGTAAGCAAAAAACTGCAATTGGGAAACACATCGTAAATTAAAATAATGTAACAGAAAATTTCCGATTAATATCAATGTCTAACAAAATGAACAAAATTCGAATACCCATTAACTTTATGCTTAGACAAAGATTTTCAATATGCAACCAAATAATTATATGAAGTACAATGCAAATATAAAGCATAGTTTCATGATGATTCCTACTGAAAAATAGACAATCCAGTTAGCATTAAAATATCAGATGATGCTTCTTCAGTAGAAGAGCTATTTAGCATTACCATTTTAAACATCCTACAGCTACAATAACAGTATTTTGTTTTTAATGTAATTCCTAACAGAAATTGGTTATAGACTCCTTTATATACCTCCCATCATAATTCCTAATCTTTACTTAATGTGTAAAACCACAAACTAAATCATGTTACTGAGATATTATATACAAATTCCATGAGTTGAGTACATAACCATAATAAAACTAATAATAAATCATACAAATAAGAAAATATTTCATTTTCACCCAAAAAGGGACTTGATTCCTTGTTCAAACTAATTTGATCATTTAAAAGAATTTACAGCATTTTATGGACACCAAAAAACAATACTTCCTACTTTTTTCTCATACTAATATATCTGCCCTTTCATCAGCCTACTTAGTGGATGGCAGAAATGAAAATTGATATTTACAAGTCCTGAATGTAAATGATATTCTGACTGTAACAAAGGTTCTACCAGTAATCAGTCTTTATCCAATCTAATATCACCATAAGTATCTTTTATGTGAATATTGCAACATGATAAATATAAAGACGAAATACATTCAATTAGATATGAAATATGGTAAATATATTCATGTACTTCTATATCAATGTATTGAACGTCACTATTGGAAACCAAACCATAAACCAGTACATAGCTTCACCGTCAATTTGAAGTAATCATGTGCACACATGCAAACACACATAAACAGAGAGAGACATACGGATCCGCTCGACTTAGTCGACAAATCTCACAATAAAATAAATCAGGAACTGGTGGATTTCCCTCCATAGGCTTCTCCGGGATTATAACACAACCAAGATGCTGCCACACTTGGCATCTTTGATCTTCACACTGTTTTCAGAACAAGGCAGACGCAAAAAAAAATTAAGGTAGAAGAAAGGGAAATGTTGTAGTGGATAACAAGAACGGGCAATTTCAGAATCCATGCATCACTTCTCAAGATGGAGAAGAGCATATCAAGTGAACCAGAATTAAGAAAAAAATAGTATGTTTCAACCAGAAATATATAATTCCTTAACATCACTATAGCAATTATCACAAAAAAATGCAGCACTAGAACAAGAAGTTCAAAAGCAGTATAGATCATACAATTCCATCAATTCATGAAAAGTACACAAGCATAAAAGGTTGCATTATTCGGGGGATATAAAGTCAAGGAAATTCAAATCCACTGATTCAAATGCTTCATCATTTTCCGAAACAAGGATTCATATAATAGCCATTGTTGCAGACTTGATATGGTAAATGCCAACTGATCTATCTATTCCCATCTTGTTATTGCCTGAGATCTATCTATAATTTTTACTAGAACATTTACCAGATTCATTAAGATAAGTATAAATATGAGAACTTCATATCTAAGTGCACATATCAAGGAGGAATAAAAATCACAACCATAAGATCATACCATAAAAATTTATAAGTACTCTGCATAATAAGCACATTATATCATCTCAAGTCAGACGCAAAACCAACTTCCGAACCATAAATAAAGCAACATGAAATTGACACTTAAAAAGATAGAGCCACCCAACACTTCAACCACACACTTGTGATATCAGTCATCATTAATATGAGTACTGAGGCAAAGAACATTAAGTTTATTATCATCACCCTGATAATGTTCTCAGTCTCCAATGAACTTCCACATAGACAGCGAACTTTCATATCAGATTTAAAGGGGTCATCTATTTCCCCTTGACTTTTAACATTACTGACATCTGATACACCCTCTCCCTTTGATGCCAATTCAGTGGCTCCAGAAACCTTCATCTTCCTGAGGACAAGAAATACAAGAAGTTAAAATGCAGATAGACACTTTTGAGAGGAAATAAAAGTAATACAAAGCATAGAATAATTTAAGTGGAAAAATAGATACACTAGCATCATCTTGTCTCAATGGTAAACTCAATGGTAAACCACAACTTTTTCACATGGAAAAGGAAAGGAAAAGTTAATTCCACCGGAAATGTTTCCATCAAAACCTTCAGTGGAGAAAAATCATAAATGTAAAAGTAAACCTGTATATGTCATCAACAAGTTTCACTACATCTTCCTTTCCCACAGGAGCCCTCTTTGCCCACATCTTTGCAACTGGGAAAAAACAAGTCCAACATTATTACATTTATTTTCTGAACAAATTAATTAGATTTATACAGGCCAATTTTGAACAATCTATAAAGTAATGACAATAAATTCAGGAAATCGCATAATTCTACTCACAACATACTTGTATGCAACCCCTTCCCTCCCTCCCTCACCTAAACACTGCCCTAATAAAACACTAATAAAAATGTTTGAAGTTTATAGTGCCATTGGAAGCATCAAACAGACTATCATAATGAAATTAATGGATAAAAAAGCTAAGCGCTAAAATATCCAGAATCCAGCAAATCTACATCAAAATCAGGCAGGAAACAACTTCATAATTGCTTTACTCGGTAAAATAAATGAAATAAAAAAATATATTAATATTAATTCTACCAACAGCTGAAACTCATAATGTTGTACATCAGTCTAACAATATATATCAGTATTCAATGTCTGATAACATAACTCTGAGTATGCTGCAGACAAGCATATCAGCAGCTAACAGACTATGTCTCAAGCTAGCAGAGTAATACCAGAAATAATAAATGTTTGAAAGATAAAGTAGCCCATGAGATGAATATAGTAAGTATACGTTGTCAATTTAAACAAGAGGAGGAAGAACTTTTTACCTTGTTCATTAGAGAGGGCACCTAATATCCTCTCAACAAGATCCTACAATGAAATTGCACAAAGGTAAAATATAATCATACATCATGAAGATGCAAGCTGTAATAAAAATGCAAATGACAGAAAGCAAACTACAGTGCATTTTCTCTAGCAAATAACCTGCTTCTTTCCCTGCTTTGAGAGACCCAGTTGAGTGAGAACGTCTTTGAGTTCTTTTATACGGAAATATGCCAACTTATCCTACAATAGCAATATCATTTTGAATAAGTTCTCAAGAAATCCCCCACCGGGGGGGGTGGGGAGCATCAACAGGTCAGTATCAATCATAACAATAAGCAACTAAAATCATACGAATTTATCTACTAAAATACAGCTTAAGAGACTACAGTGGTAAATATAGAAATCCCATGATTTAAGTGGCTGCATAAAATAAACTTAGAAAATCTGAGTGACATTAAACACTGTTCACAACTAATACTAATTCCACCAAGAAAAAAAACTGAAACAACCAACACCATCCATAGTAAACTTAACTTACAAACTCAAAACTAGATTCACAAAGCCGTGCCATATGTTGCAGAAGAGGAAATTTCCTTTCACAATTACCAGCAGCCCAACGATTAATTTACGTTGGAAAAACAGAAGTAAGATCAGGGACAACAGTTCACCCAGTTTGTTAAATTTGATAAAGATATCCTCCAAAATGTATACAAAAAAGATAAGTCGTATACAATTACATGCCATTTCTGAAGCAGCCAGGGAAAAGAAACCCTATATAACTACTCGAAATAGTAAAATAAAAAAACCTGAAAATATTTACATAAAAATAAAAAGTTAAATACCTTGCAACTGGCAACCAAATCCATGTTCAGTTTACAGTCTGCAGCCGAGCAAAAATCTGTAAGAAAAACCTTACACACTCGAAAATTACCAATCGGTCTAATACGAGACAACATAACTAAAACCACAATTAAATTAAATTAAATCGACCAATTAATCAATCCACAGAGAAAGAGAATCAAGATGATCAGATTAAATGAACTTACGAAGTTTCCGATGACGAGTAAAAAAAGGAAAATTTTGATGAATTGAGGAGAAAATTGGAGAAATAAGGTTCCGAGTGAGGAAAACGCCGACTTCTCCTCCTCCTTAACGAAGGAGTCCCAACAGAATGAAGAATTCTTTTTCAAAGAAAATAAATTTACAAAAGTGACCGGACTCATCACCGGTTATCAAATCCGGTTTTTTGATGGGGAACACGTCCGGGTTTAGTTTCAGTGAAGTTGCGTGTTGCCCCGTTCATTTTGTAACTCACGCCCTCTTTTCTTTTTCTTTTGGGCAAGTTTAGAGTGCAATCATACGTAGGTACATGCTGGATTCTGCCAAAAAAAATCAAGAGAGCAATAAAGTGGCATTTCAGCCGTTGACTTTCTACTATGTGATTACTGATTAACATAAATTGAATCATTAAATTTAAGATAAATTATTTATTTAAACCCTCATTTAATTTTATATTTTTATTTAAATTATTTATAATAATTTTTAACGGTAATATTGATATGATTTTATACTTTTTTTATGCCATCACCTCCCAAAAAAATAAAAAAAATGATTAATCTGAAATAATTATAAGATATAATTTTTACAAAATACTCTAATTCATTTAACAATAAATATTGAAACATTAGACAATATGCTCAAACCTTAAATCTCTAAAAATTACAAATATTCTTTTAATCACTCTTTTAAAAAAATCAAAACACTAAACGTAAAATTTGAAAATTGGTCTCTTTTTCAAAGAGTTAAGGTTTTTATTAATTTGGGGTTAATAGTTAGTACAAGACAATATTTGTTTAAAGATAACTCTCAACCTCTTAATATTGAACGTTCATATTCCTGACATTTATGGTGCTCGAACTCGGATTCTCACGAAATAACAGTAATTCATTTACTACAGAGACTACTTAACATGATATTAAGATAATTTCGTAAAAAAAGAATATTTAGTTATATTATATTAACACGACAAAATAAATAATTATAGTTGATGTTGATTTTTAAATTTAGGATCATAATTATAAATAACTAACTGTTTAATTATTGGGTTAAGCTAAAAATTGCTTAATATTCCACCAACATTTATATTTACGTTATATAATTATTAAATTAAAGATTTAATTTCTTTTAATTTTATATGTGAATAAAAAATAATTATATAATAAATATTTTAGTTAAAACTTACTTAAGTTAAATATATAACAAATATATGAGTTTGTATCTAATAGTATACACCATCATAGGCGTGTATGCAAAAGGGTATTCGGCCTCTTAAATTATATTAGTTTGATTTATGAAATTTTAAAATTAATAAATTTAAATTATTTTATTTTTTAATAGACGTTGGTTTTATTAAAAAGATGAAATATCTAGAATTAATAATGGAGGCTTATTTATAACTATAATAGTAAATTAAACCATTTTTTTTTACAATCACACAAAAACTAAGCAATTAAGATCACACCATGTCCATACAATTAAAAAGTTAAAATCCTAATCAAAAACTCAAACAAAAAATAAATACGAACAAATCTAACTACATCAGTAAAAAAATACAAAAAAAGATGAAACTATTAAAAGACTATTGCCAAACCACGAATCAAAGCCAAACTACATAAAAACCAATCCATGAACGCAAATAACGTATCCAAATTCAATTTGCTCGTCCAAAACAGAGTATCAGAATGATAACAGAGTTGACAGAGATATCGAAATTTCGTTCTCGTCATCTGAATCACTAAGAACAATAACTTCTGCCAGAGTTGACAGAGATATCGAAATTTCGTTCTCTTCATCTGAATCACTAAGAACAATAACTTCTGCATTTCCGGCTGGTACAGATGAATTCCGGTCGGTAAACTCATATGTCGAGTCTATTACGGTAGCACTGCTGCTCATTGGGATAATTTTTTGCCCATATTGTTCAATCATTTTTTGTAATCTACTACCAGAGGAGGTGTTCAAATCTTCAGGCTTGCTAACCTCCCATAACCTATTGCAATTTTTCCGGATTCCAAGTTTCAAGCCTGTATGACCTTCAGAAGCACATTCAAGTTTGACCTGCTTCAATGTTTCAGTTCTTGGCTTGACCTCAGCACTGTCAGGTCTACATAAGGTGCCATCAGGAGAGTGCCATTGTGCAAGATCACCAAGTTCTCTACGCTCACTTTCACTTTTAGCCTTTGCACGCCAAAAACCATCAGGCTTCACCTCAATCTCTGTAATATCCTCTCCAGAATTTCTCATCTGTATCAAAGTTAATCATCATTATTACACAGATGCCATCTACAAAAATAGAGGATACCACAAGGCACATACCTTGAATGTGATGCGATTAAAGTAAGGATCAATTATAATATTCTCCAACGTGTAGTTCTTCAGACAAATAGGGCACTGCCACTGCAATCACATTCACAAACAAATGCTAGTCAAAACCTTAAAATAGTTCCTACCGGAAATAAAAATGTTATAATAGTTGCTTGCCTTTCTAGAACGTTGGTTCAGCTCCACAAAGACTTCAAGATCGAAACAACCCATGTGAACACAGGGTTTAAACCTTCCGGCCACCTTCATTCTTGAACCACTAATCTGTCACAAGTAAACAAAAAAAATTGAAGTTGGATATAATTAGAGTAACTTCAAGATGGGTGCAGTACTCGATTATTGTATTCCAATCCCATTAACACTCAACATGGTAGAAGAAAAAAAGGACAGGTAGGAGAATTATCCCCTTCCATGATAAGTAAGATTCAGCTTAGTATAAATATGCAGAGTTGACAGAGAGGTATATAGAAACACAGTATAGAAAGCAAAAACAATAGACTGTTAAAAGAGCCGGTCATAGGATAAGCACACAAATATATGGAACCCAAATGGTCCTACGATAAAGTTAAGTTCTGATTGGAACAAACCAGAAGCATAAGACACCACATATTATCCAATGTAGACTAATAAATCTGTCAAATAGGTCCATGAACTTCGCCAAAACAAGCCTATTATGGTATTGGCTCAATGGTTGAAAGGGAACACAGGCAACTTTACAGCAAAAAGCAAGATCCTTCCAATGCCTTTCAGGTTATTGCTGTAACATGAAGGTTATGAAGGGGGGTTTTAATGAGGCCTCCATATATTTTCTTTCAAAAAAAAAAAGCAAGATAAATAGCACCACCACCTCAATAAAGGATGAAGTGCATTTTTCTGACATTATAGCCTCAGCTAGAAATGTGCTACAAAGCGCACACATAACCTTAGATGCTTCCCCTTTAGGCTATAGACATTTTATAGCTACTATGCTGGTACAAAAGTGAGACTTGGAAGAATTTGATCCATGAATATCACAGGGCACAATAACCATCTCTTAAAAGACATGCTTTACAAGAAGAGCTAATCAAATATTTCAAGAATGATACCCATGAATTAAACATGAAATATCTTTAGCATAAAAAGATGGTGCATAGCTGCATAAATTTACAGGAAAGAGTGCTAGCAAATTATTCATAACTCACAGGGCAACGTAGGTTGAGTCCAAAAAAATCTGCAACGACTTCTAGATCACTGTCACTATCACCATTGTCTGCTGCAGTTCCACCACCAATACAACGGCAAACTCGTGCAAGAGCATCTTCAAAACATTCACCATTGGTCTCCTTCGGAATAATGTCGAGTATCTAAGTCATGCCACAAGAAATATAAAATGAACATAAAGAACACCAAACATGTATATAGAAAGGTAAGTTTCAGTTACACAGAAATGGAGGAATTTGTTGTTCAAATTATAGAACAAACACTCTCAATACTAATGTTAGTAGTTCAATTATCTTTTATCTCAAATTAAAACTTGATATTAACATATGGAAATTTCAGGGTAAATCTCCAACCATATATATTTGATGTTGTTATCATACCTGTTGAAGAGTTCGGCGTTTAACAATACTAACTCCAAAACAGAAAACACGGGCATCACATCCAGTCAAAGTTATCTTATTAAGTCCATCTTTAGTACATGTAGTTATCTGACAAAAGCACAGACAATGAAACGAGTGTTTAGGGAGTTGATGTTTCGTAACAGATAAAAATATTACCAGTATTATAAAGAACGTGCAATAATCTGGCCTGCCAGCTTCCCGACCCATACCGATCACATACATGAACATATAACAGTTAATTCTATGGAAAATATGATTCCATATACATCAAGAACATAAACTAAAATTCATCTTGTTAATAGAAGGAAAAAAACTCACAATTGGACCATCATCACGGCCATTAGCCCCAAGCAACTGCGAGCCGGGTCTATTAATCGCACAAACAGGTACACCTGTTCAAAAAGCTTGTCACTTGTAGACCCAAAAAAAATTTACCGCTAAGATATTGAAATCGAGAAGTTCATATAAAATACTCAAAAGGACAAGATGTCAGCAACAATGTTTCAATTAGAAAAATAGAAGGCAAACAAGCTAAAGCATGCTCTTATCTTTTTCTTCTTCTTTTGGTTAAATCCAAGCATGCTTCTCAATGACAACTTGACAAGAAGTTAAATAAACAGTAGCTAGCAATTAAGCTGTAACAAGTCTGATTAACCACCAAGAAGTAAAAGCAAGACATAAATAACCATACCATTGACCTGTAAATCTGCATATTGAGGCCACTGCATCCTGAATGGAACTTTGTCATTCAGAAGCATGCACCATGCCTATTTTGACAAGATGAGAAACAAAAACATCAAGATAGATAGCCAAAAATAATACCATCAAAATCTTACATATTTTTTACACTAGCCAACCTGGACATCATAATCTTGTTTCGTCAATAAGTCCTTGTCTGCTCTGGTAATTTGGAATGTTTTCTCTACACTTTGCATTGGATTTGTACTGTAAAATGGTGGATCTGAATTACTAAACTAACAAACTAATAAGGAAAAAAGTCACAAAGCATCACACATAAATCATACAGTGTTTATCACTCCTAAATAAACAGGAAGTTTAAGGGGAAAAAGAATTTACTATTTCCCATATAGTTCACTCACCCATCAGTTGGGATGCTCGTAATAGTCAACTTCACTGGATATAAAGGGTTCGCAATAGAAAGCAAAAAACTGCAATTGGGAAACACATCATGAATTAAAACAATGTAACAGAAAATTTCCGATTAATATCAAGATCTAACAAAATGAACAAAATTCGAATACCCATTAACTTTATGTCCAGACAAAGATTTTCAAGATGCATCCAAATAATTATATGAAGTACAATGCATATATAAAGTATAGTTACATGATGATTCCTACTGCAAAATATAGAATCCAGTTAGCATTAGAATATCAGATGATGCTTCTTCAGTAGAAGAGCTATTTAGCATTACCTTTTTAAACATCCTATAGCTACAAATAACAGTATTTTGTTTTTAATGTAATTTCTAACAGGAATTGGTCACAGACTCTTTTATATACCTCCCATCATAATTCCTAATCTTTACTTAATGTGTAAAAGAACCAACTAAATCATGTTACTGAGATATTATATACAAAATCCATGAGTTGAGTGCATAACCATAATAACACTAATAATAAATCATACAAATAAGAAAATATTTCATTTTCAACCAAAAAGAGACTTGATTCCTTGTTCGAACTAATTTGATCATCTAAAAGAATTTACAGCATTTTATGGACACCAAAAAATAAAACTTCCTACTTTTTCTCATTCTAATCTATTTTTCCTTTCATCAGCCTACTTAGTGGATGGCAGAAATGAAAATTGATATTTACAAGTCCTGAATATAAATGATATTCTGACTATCACAAAGGTTCTACCAGTAATCAGTCTTTATCCAATCTAATATCAACATAATTATCTTTTATGTGAATATTGCAAAATGATAAATATAAAGACAAAACACATTCAATTAGATATGAAATATGATAAATATATTCATGTATTTCTATATCAATGTATTGAATGTCACTATTGTAACCAAACCATAAAACAGTACATAGCTTCACCATCAATTTGAAGTAATCATGTGCACACATGCAAACGCACATAAACAGAGAGAGACATACGGATCCGCTCGACTTAGGCGACAAATCTCACAATAAAATAAATCAGGAACTGGTGGATTTCCCTCCATAGGCTTCTCTGGGATTATAACACAATCAATATGCTGCCATACTTGGCATCTTTGATCTTCACACTGTTTTCAGAACAAGGCAGACGCAAAAAATAAAAAATAAAAAAAATCAGCAATTCAATTTAAGGTAGAAGAAAGGGAAATGTTGTAGTGGATAACAAAAAGGGGCAATTTCAGAATCCATGCATCTCTTCTCAAGATGGAGAAGAGTATATCACGTGAACCAGAATTAAAAAAAAAATAGTATGTTTCAACCAGAAAAATATAATTCCTTAACATCACTATAGCAATTATCACAAAAAATGCAGCACCAGAACAAGAAGTTCAAAAGCAGTATAGATCATACAATTCCATCAGCGCAAGATTCATGAAAAGTACACAAGCATAAAAGGCTGCATTATTCGGGGGATATAGAGTCAAGGAAATTCAAATCCACTGATTCAAATGCTTCATCATTTTCCGAAACAAGGATTCATATAATACCTATTGTTGCAGACTTGATATGGTAAATGCCAACTGATCTATCTATTCCCATCTTTTCATTGCCTGCGATCTATCTATAATTTTTACTAGAATATTTACCAGATTCGTTAAGATAAGTATAAATATGAGAACTTCATATCTAAGTGCACAAATCAAGGAGGAATAAAAATCACAACCATAAGATCATACCAGAAAAAATTATAAGTACTCTGCATAATAAGCACATTATACCATCTCAAGTCAGACGCAAAACCAGCTTCCGAATCATAAATAAAGAAACATGAAATTGACACTTAAAAAGATAGAGCCACCCAACACTTCAGCCACACACTTGTGATATCAGTCATCATTAACATGTGTACTGAGGCAAAGAACATTAAGTTTATTATCATCACCCTGATAATGTTCTCAGTCTCCAATGAACTTCCACATAGACAACGAACTTTCATATCAGATTTAAAGGGGTCATCTATTTCCCCCTGACTTTTAACATTACTGCCGTCTGATACACCCTCTCCCTTTGATGCCAATTCAGTGGCTCCAGAAACCTGCATCTTCCTGAGGACAAGAAATACACTTAAGAAGTTAAAATGCAGATAGACACTTTTGAGAGGAAATAAAGTAATATAAAGCATAGAATAATTTAAGTGGAAAATAACACAACTTTTTCACATGGAAAAGGAAAGGAAAAGTTAATTCCACCGGAACTGTTTCCATCAAAACCTTCAGCGGAGAAAAATCATAAATGTAAAAGTAAACCTGTATATGTCATCAACAAGTTTCACTACATCTTCCTTTCCCACAGGAGCCCTCTTTGCCCACATCTTTGCAACTGGGAAAAAACAAGTCCAACATTAATACACTTATTTTCTGAACAAATTAATCAGATTTATACAGGCCAATTTTGACCAATCTATAAAGTAATGACAATAAATTCAGGAAATCACATAATTCTACTCACAACATACTTGTATGCAACCCTTTCCCTCCCTCCCTCAGCTAAACACTGCCCTAATAAAACACTAATAAAAATGTTTGAAGTTTATAGTGCCATTGGAAGCATCAAACAGACTATCATAATGAAATTAATGGATAAAAAAGCTAAGCGCTAAAATATCCAGAATCCAGTAAATCTACATCAAAATCAGGCAGGAAACAACTTCATAATTGCTTTCCTCGGTAAAATAAATGAAATAAAAAAATATATTAATATTAATTCTACCAACAGCTGAAACTCATAATGTTGTACATCAGTCTAAACAATATATATCAGTATTCAATGTCTGATAACATAACTCTGAGTATGCTGCAGACAAGCATATCAGCAGCTAACTACTAGCAGTCTAACAAACTATGTCTCAAGCTAGCAGAGTAATACCAGAAATAATAAATGTTTGAAAGATAAAGTAGCCCATGAGATGACTATGGTAAGTATACGTTGTCAATTTAAACAAGAGGAGGAAGAACTTTTTACCTTGTTCATTAGCGAGGGCACCTAATATCCTCTCAACAAGATCCTACAATGAAATTACACAAAGGTAAAAAATAATCCTACATCATGAAGATGCAAGCTGTAATAAAAATGCAAATGACAGAAAGCAAACTACAGTGCATTTTCTCTAGCAAATAACCTGCTTCTTTCCCTGCTTTGAGAGACCCAGTTGAGTGAGAACGTCTTTGAGTTCTTTTATACGGAAATATGCCAACTTATCCTACAATAGCAATATCATTTTGAATAAGTTCTCAAGAAATCCCCCCGGGGGGGAGCATCAACAGGTCGGTATCAATCATAACAATAAGCAACTAAAATCATACGAATTTATCTACTAAAATACAGCTTAAGAGACTACAGTGGTTAATATATAAATCCCATGATTTAAGTCGCTGCATAAAATAAACTTAGAAAATCTGAGTGACACTAAACACTGTGTTCACAACTAATACTAATTCCACCAAGCAAAAAAAAAAACTGAACCAACCAACACCATCCATAGTAAACTTAACTTACAAACTCAAAACTAGATTCACAAACCCACCAAAGCCGTACCATATGTTGCATAAGGGGAAATTTCCTTTCACAATTACCAGCAGCCCAACGATTAATTTACGTTGGAAAAGCAGAAGATCAGGGACAACAGTTCACCCAGTTTGTTAAATTTGATCAAGATATCCCCCAAAATGTATAAAAAAAGATAAGTCGTATACAATTACATGTCATTTCTGAAGCAGCCAGGGAAAAGAAACCCTATATGACTACTAAAAATAGTAAAATAAAAATAAACCTGAAAATATTTACATAAAAATAAAAAGTTAAATACCTTGCAACTGGCAACTGGCAACTGGCAACCAAATCCATGTTCAGTTTACAGTCTGCAGCCAAGCAAAAAATTTGTAAGAAAAACCTTAAACACTCGAAAATTACCAATCGGTCTAATAAGAGACAACATAACTAAAACCAAAATTAAATTAAATTAAATTAAATTAAATCGACCAATTAAACAATCCACGGAGAAAGAGAATCAAGATGATCGGATTAAATGAACTTACGAAGTTTCCGATGTCGAGTAAAAAAAGGAAAATTTTGATGAATTCAGGAGAAAATTGGAGATATAAGGTTCCGAGTGTGGAAGACGCCGACTTCTCCTTTTCCTTCTTGACGAAGGAGTCCCAACAGAACGAAGAATTCTTTTTCAAATAAAATAAATTTACAAAAGTGACTGGACTTATCGCCGGTTATCAAATCCGGTTTTTTGACGGGGAACACGTCCGGTTTAGTTTCAGTGAAATTGCGTGTTGCCGCGTTCATTTTGCAACTCACTCCCTCTTTTCGTTTTCTTTTTCTTTGGGCAAGTTTAGAAGGCGTTTTTCAAAAAGAAAAAATTATCGGTGATCGGTATATTTATCGATTTAATATCGGTCAGATTATATTTTTTGATCTAATACTTTTGCAGTAAGGTGCGCCCCCTACAACGCGTTATACGCTGATTTGGCGTCACGTGGGATAAGAAGCGCCCCCTGCGACGCGCCTTATGCTGACATGGGGATACACGTGGGTATAACACGACCCCTGAGGCGCGCCTTACGCCACATAGGGTATAGCGCGGGTCAGGGGTCGCACCTGACCTTTATAATTATATATAGCGCGGGGTAGGTACCGCGCCTTGTATAATTGTTACAACTTTTCTCGGCTATAAATACCCTTCTTCCCGGGTTAAGTTCCTCACATCTCTCCTCTCAACTTATAAATTAATACAACAATTCTGTCAACGAGTTAATAATTCTGACAATTTTCTCATTTTTTATTCAGAAGTTCGTGCAATTTTTCGTTATAAGGTAATTTTGTGATAAATTTTTTATTATATTTATTGTTTATTATGATTATTTGAAAAATATTTATATTAATTGGTGTCAATTAATTTCTGTGTTTGTATAATTAGAAAGCGGGAATATACGTCGAAATAGTTTTGCGGTACATGTAATAATATAAAATTATATTATTTAAATTATTTACGTTTATGTGTAAAAAATTTATTCTGTTATATTTTCGTTCATATATTATTTATTTAATCAGCATTGTTTCAATTGTTTTGTTTTGCTGATTTAATATTGTCGCACTTTTAAACTCAAAAAATGGTGCGACTTTCAGCTATTGTTTAGTATGATGGTGAAATTCGAGAAGATGAAACCGGCGTTGTTTTCGTATCAAATGAGCGTGTTAAAATATCATTGAAGAGAAACATAACTCTTGAGGAGCTGATAATGAAGATTTCGAGGAAGATTCATGTTGGAAGTAGTAGAAGAATGTCGTCGTTGCAGTACAGATTTCCATCATTATTGTTGCCATTAACTTATACAGGGTTCGGACTTTTGAACAACGATGATGTTGAAATGATGGTTGAAGCTCAAAGTAATTATTTAGACGCCGATATTGAGATGTATACAAATTTTATTCAAGTGCGTGTCGTTCGGGGTCAATCATTAAGCTCTCACTATGGGTTGGCTGAAGAAGTTGATCAAGTTGACAGCCCGACGACAGTAATGTGTAATGATTTTAATGCCATAATGGGGAGACATTCATCCGCAAATCCTTACGATATGTACCGAGGTGGGTCGACGAACAATCTGTATGGCAACATCGCATCCAGTTCAAGGGGAATGCATTCATATGCAAATCCGTTTGACCTTAATATGGAGATGTCATCGACGCAACCATATGTGTAGTTTCCATTTGACACGATGGGTTCAAGCTCCAGGGGGAGGCATTCGACTGCGAGCTTTTTCGATCTGAATGTCGATATGCCTTCCAGTTCAAGGGGAAAGCGTGCAATTAGTAGGTTCTTCGACCTAAATGTGGAGAGCATGGAGGAACCATCATCTCCACCAGAAGAACCACTTCGTGAGCCTGGTGCGGATGGTGCTGAGACTGGACTATTCATTCACCCAGAATCACCGCAATTCAACTCCGATGATGATGATGATGATGATGTGGATGAAGTTCCAGCAAATGTGACACAAACTGACCCTCCAACACACATGTATGAAGCTGATTATGGTGCAATGTATGGGCCAGAATTTACGGATATGCCTCATTTCGGTGACTATGGATATTACTCATCAATAAATAATGGTGAGTTATATTTAGGCATGGAGTTTTCAAGCAAATAAGAAGCGATTATGGCTATAAAATATTACAATAACCGTAATTATGTTCAATCGAGAGTCGACCGCTCCACGACAGTAAAATATGTATGTTACTGTGCCCGACGCAAAAATAGATGTAATTGGATGGTTCGCATATCGAAAAGGAAGAGGAAAAACAACAGATGAGAACTAACAGTATACAACGGTCCTCACACATGTTGTGCTGGAGGGGTCAACCAAGATCATCCCAGCTTGGACTCTTAAGTGATATGCCAAGCCATCATGCCCATGGTAAAAGCAAGCTCTCATATAGTTGTTGTTGTGTTGATTTCAGCTATACAATCGCAGTATGGGTACACTGTCTCCTATAAAAAAGCTTGGTTGGCAAAACAAAATGCCATTGTCAAACTTTATGGCGAATGGGATGCATCTTACAATGAACTTCCAGGCTGGTTTAGGCTGGTGCGGAGGTTAAATCCTGGGACAATTGTGGACTTCGAAACCTCCTATGCATACCATAATGATCGAGTTCTCCGCGATCGATGTCAATTCTACCGGGTTTTTTGGACTTACCCACAGTGTGTTAATGCTGTCAAATACTACAAGCCTGTGGTCCAGATCGACGAGACTTTCTTGTATGGAAAATAAAAACAAGTTTTATTATTGGCAATTATCCAAGATGTCAATCGCAACATTCTTCCAGTTGCTTTTGCTCTTGTCGAAGGAGAAGATACAAATTCTTGGGGTTTTTTCCTCCGAAATTTACGTGCACTTGTTATCGCGAGGGAAAACATCTGTGTCATTTCAGATCGCGGAGTTGTGATCAAAGCAACAATGGAGTCTTTGGGTCCAATGTGACAATCACCCTTTGTCCAACATAGGTATTGTCTCTGTCACATTGTTGCGAACTACCATGGAAAGTACAAGAAAAATGATGAGCGTCAATTAATTGTGCGCATGGGTAAGTGAAACTGATGTAGTTTGTTTTCTTTTGATCATTTTAATTTTGCAAATAAAGCAAGTTAGTAAGTTATACATTTTTTGATTAGATTACGAACTACTTCCTCGAACTTTTGAATCAATGCTTCAAGATTTACGGGCGAAGAACGAGGAAGGATACGATTACATCAGCCTCATCGATAAAGAAATGTGGACGAACGCATGTGATGGTGGATATCGATATGGACACATGACGACCAACTTGGCAGAGACAATCAATTCAACTTTAAAGGGTGCACGTCACTTACCAGTAGCAGTTTTCGTAAAGATTACATATTTTCGTTTGGGGGCGCTTTTTGCGAAGCTCGGGGGACAAGCTCAAACCTGGATGCAAGGCGGTCATGTCTATCACCCTAGATTAGTTGCAGATCTACAGGAAAAAAATTTATGCATCAAATGGAATGTCTGTAACAAGTTTCTCTAGAAGGCATGAAATGTTTCGTGTCACAGAGTTACCGCGACCTCTTCAAGGGATTGAAACTGTGTCGTTAAGAGTAAATCTAAGGGACAGAACATATGACTGCGAAGTTTTTCAAGCTTTTAAGTATCCATGCTCTCATGTGATAGCAGCTTGCTCGTATACACGTCAAGACTATAATCATTTTGTGGATCCCGTATACCTACTATATGAAGTTTTTAAGGTATACGAATTTGAATTTCCCTCATAGGTAATGACAAAGACCCTGATGAGATTCAAGATTGGCTTCCGATTGTACCAAATCCGAGTTTATTGAGAGAGCGTGATCGTCCAAATCCAATCGAATTCATTGCGATATAGATATTCGAGAAAGATCTAGACAAGATAGAAGATGTGGGCATTGTAGAAACCCAGGACACACTAGAAAAATATGTCCACTTTTGTTGTCATCAAGTAACAATTGATACGACTATAATCGCTGATGAAGATTAAAAAAACGATACAATAATATGAGACTGGACATTTGCGTTATATGTGATTATAATAAAAGAGATAATAAGTGACAAAATTAAGAAAGTTATCGAACAATTTGGTATTTCAAAATAATTTTAAATACAACAAACTTACAATAAGTATTAAATGGTAAATGATAACCAAATTACAATAACTGATATTAAATGGTAATAAACAAAATTAATTAAAATACATTAAAAAAAGTCAAACAAATTTAACAAAATAAAGTAAGTATTAAATGAGAAATAATAAAAAATTACAATTAAAAAGTCCAATAAACTAAATACAAATATAATAAAAAACAAAATCTATTGATGCATGCGACGCGAATGTGTTCTGCAGGGCGGTGGCTGTCGGTCTCGAGGAGGATTTATTCGTATCACTGGTTATGACTCCTCGCTGTCATCATCATCACCATCGTCATCGTCGTCGTCGCCGTCGTCATCCTGAGTAGGTACATTAGGTTGATGAGGAGCTGATGACGATGAAGCACCTCCATAGAATAAGGACCCTGGAGGTGTATGACTGACTATCCTACCGACCTGCGAAAACTGGGAAAACTCATAAAACCCAGACATCGCTGAGTATGAAAACTGTACAGGAGGTGTGTGTGTTGCGACCATAGGTGATGAGGTTGAACCTGCCAAATATCTAGCATATGAACCTCAAGTTGGATCTACAAACATAGACCCATAATAGCCTCCAGGAGGGGTCATCTGTGACGGTGGTGGTGACGGGGTTATAAAAGCAGGTAAAGGCGGGAGCGGCGACATCTGGTAATGGAAAGGCGGTAACGACATCATATATGGTTGTGGTATGTAAGTCGGTAGATACGGTGACTGCTGTGAAAGTCCTGCTGGTGTAGCTAAGGATGAACCGGAAACACCTGCTCTACGTCCACGAGTAGGGGGGACGACGGTGTTGTGTCGGTGAACGTCTCTGTCGACTTCGCGGAAATGTCTACCCTAGTGCATCCTCGGGAAGCAGAAATGGTTTCACATTACTGTTGAACCACTCGTAATAACCGTCAGCAACTAGCAAGAGGTCATAAAAAATGGGCTCTCTACGGGGAAGATGCCGATGTCGATCCTCCCACAACACGACCCACGCATGATGTCTCACCAGCCAATCTGTAGCTGTCTTGCTGCGTCTATCTGTGCTATGCAACTCGTCCATATTGCAAGATGCTTCCGGAATTGGTTGAAAACAACCAAATTGCCGGAGTACGCGATCAGTTGAGTGCCACTCGATGGTCG